ACCTCAGATTTATTACGAGGTTGAGTTTTCAATTAATTTTTGGTCTTTGTGCATTCAGAAAACTTTTCCTCTTGCCAATTTTTTTCATGGGCCCCAGATTCACATATATGACCCTGCCACTTTTTTTCTCAGTTAAAAAAGCTACGATTTCTATGAGAGTGCTACTCACAAGGAATAAAGATATTCTAAGGAATCTGAGACACATTTTGAAGGCATAGAATATAGGGCTTGAGGGAAACGGAATATGACTCTAATCAAGGGGGATTTGGACATTTTGAACTTAAGCACCAACTAGGTGAATAATGAAGTCACTGAATGAAATTGGATAGACTTTCTAATCCATTAAAATGTTTTCCAGTTGAAATGCTGCAACTAAAATGTATACTTGACAAGTAAATAGGCAATAAGCCCTGGGAAATGCAAAACTTTATAGAGAAAAAGAGCCTCAAGATTTTCCTTCAAAGGCACGAATGATGAGATTAAATTGCGAGGCAATTTTTTCCTCACAGAGAAAGGAGACATTCCAGGAGACAAAGAGGCTTTGGAAGATGGTACTGGAAGTCAGGAGGATATTCAGGGATGTTGAATGGTAGTGCTTGATGCAAGCCAAGAAAATGTACATGACACCAGGAATCTGATGGGGGCAGAAATTAGATCATGAGTTGAACGTGAACAGGATCTGAATACAATTTTAATCGCCCTTGGAATATTTTGTATTGGGATATTATTATTTATTTCCAGGAGCAATAAAATAAAGTATGATGTATTTGTTTTTAATGAATTCAGAGATGAAAGCCCAAGTATTGGTTGCTTAACAAACACGCTAAATCCTGTTTCCTTTTCTTTACACTAATCAAAGGGGCTTTAGAAAGAGGAACAGAAAATAAGTTGTGAATAAAACTGTGCTTTGGGTTTACAATTTCCAGGAAAGCTAAATGAATATGGTTCAATGATAATAGTGTAGCTGATAAATTTTCAAGCAGAACTTTCACACGAAAGCCACCATTTTCAGTGTAACCAAGAGAATGGTTTTGACAAATAACCAATACTGCAGTCTGATTGCCAAGAGTTAGAGGCCCACATTTTGATCTAAAAGAGCACTCATTTCTTCCAAAATGCCTCTTTTTTTTTGTGGGGGTTAAGCATACCCAGTGATGCTCAGGGGTTACTTCTGGGTCTTCATCTAGAAATTACTCCTGGTGGGGTTTGGGGGTCCATATTGGATGCTAGGGATCAAACCTGGGTCGGCCACGTGCAAGGCAAGTGCCCTTCCTGCTTCATCTTCTCCAGACCCTACAATGTTTTTATCACAAAATTGTAAAGTTATTTTTTTAAAGCCTGGATAAACCTAAGCGGGGCTAGGAAAAGATATTTAATAAAAATCACTTGAATTACTGAATTTTATTGACATTATAATCAAGTAGTGAGCCTTGAACCAACTTGATCCCAAACCTTGTAATTTTTTTAGCGTTTGTTTGCAGCCCTGGGCATCAAAGCCAGGAACTCATGCAGGCAAGGCAAGTAGTCCACACTGAGCTATACTCCAGGCCCCCTGAATCTTTTGAAAAGGAGTACTCAGAGGAGACTGTTTTGCTTGTGCCTCGGATGTTAGCCGAATTCTTCTAGCTGTCCAGAAGGTGCTCCGTTAAACAAAAGGACTATCGCTGTTTAAACTGCATTCATGCAAGGCCTGCAACTATGGTGTTGTCATCGAAAACAGCTTTTATCTTGTAAGGGTACCTGGACAGTGTGACTATTATGGTTCTAAAATATTCAACTTCCCTCTTTATTTTTTTTTAATTTTTAAATTTTTATTAGTAAAACACGATGAGGTACAGTTGTAGACTTACAAATTTTTGTGCTTGGATTTCAATTATACAATGATCAAATACCCATCCCTCCACCAGTGACCATTTTCCACCACCACGGGTCCCAGCATCCCTCCCACCCCCCGTGCCCCCCATCCCACCCTGCTTCTGTGGCAGGGCATTCCCCCTTGTTCTCTCTCTCTCCTTTTGGGTTCTGTGGTTTGCAGGAGAGGCATTGAGTGGCAATCATGTTTGGTCTATAGTCTACTTTCAGCATGCTTCTCCCATCCTGGGAGGATCCTCCCAACAACTTCCCTCTTTAATGACAGATTACAGAGGATTTGGTGTCGGATGAATGAGTCTGTGGGGCTCAAACTTCTACTTGGGACTTGTTCTGTGCTAGGGCTGCCCCTACCCCCAGCCCTCTGTGCCACAATCAGGCAAAGAATCCTTTCTCCCAAGGTGCCAACGTTTTTGGAGCCTTAGGAACACCAGGGCTTCGTCCAGACAAAACTCCCCCCACTGATTGGCCATCATCTTTACAATCCTCCTTTTACTTAAGACATTGGGGCCCAAGAATCTCTTCCGTAACCAAGTAAATGACTATAAATGTGCAGTTCCATGAAAGAATGAGGGAAGAATCAGCAATTTTGACCTGGTGGTCAAGAACGATCAGGTAGAGGAAATTTTTTTGGTTTTTTGGGTCACACTCTGTGATGCTCAGGGATTACTCCTGGCAGTGCTCAGGGGACCATATGGTATGCTGGGGATCAAACCAAGTCAGCCAAGTGCAAGGCAAACGCTCTACCCACTGAACTATACTGACCCCCCAATAGAAGTAACTTTTTAAGGAGATCTTGGGATCTTGCAAAGGCAGTTTAAGACTTGGGGTATATTGTTTCTTTTTCTGTTTGACCAATTTACTCCTGGCACTGTGCTCAGGGTCAGGGGTCACTCCTGGCAGGGTTCAAGACCATAGGCTGTGTGGGGATAGAACCTGAACCAGCTGTGTGCAGAGCAAGCACCTTACCTGTGGTACTCTCTGGCCCTTACTGCATGTATTTTTAAATTTGCTCTCCTCAGATGTAGGAGGTGGGATGCTGGAACCTTCCAGCCTGAAGGACAAAGTTAAAAACATAAGCTGGTGCATAACAAACTTCAGACTCTCATTTGCTGGGTCTTCACCCCAATAGGATTCCAAACCTGCTTCCCTGGGAAAGGGTAGTAGACTTGGCTGGTGACTTTTTTTTGCTTTAGTATGATATATTCCTTCTATTCTAAAAAGAGATGTTTAAGTATTCATCTAGCAAATTCACAATTTTTTTGGGGGGGGCTCTAATTTCAAATTTATGATTGAATACCTTGTTTTTTTGGACGACACCTGCCAGTGCTCAGGGCTCACTGCTGGCTCTGTGCTCAGGGCTCACTGCTGGCTCTGTGCTCAGGGCTCACTGCTGGCTCTGTGCTCAGGGCTCACTGCTGGCTCTGTGCTCAGGGCTCACTGCTGGCTCTGTGCTCAGGGCTCACTGCTGGCTCTGTGCTCAGGGCTCACTGCTGGCTCTGTGCTCAGGGCTCACTGCTGGCTCTGTGCTCAGGGCTCACTGCTGGCTCTGTGCTCAGGGCTCACTGCTGGCTCTGTGCTCAGGGCTCACTGCTGGCTCTGTGCTCAGGGCTCACTGCTGGCTCTGTGCTCAGGGCTCACTGCTGGCTCTGTGCTCAGGGCTCACTGCTGGCTCTGTGCTCAGGGCTCACTGCTGGCTCTGTGCTCAGGGCTCACTGCTGGCTCTGTGCTCAGGGCTCACTGCTGGCTCTGTGCTCAGGGCTCACTGCTGGCTCTGTGCTCAGGGCTCACTGCTGGCTCTGTGCTCAGGGCTCACTGCTGGCTCTGTGCTCAGGGCTCACTGCTGGCTCTGTGCTCAGGGCTCACTGCTGGCTCTGTGCTCAGGGCTCACTGCTGGCTCTGTGCTCAGGGCTCACTGCTGGCTCTGTGCTCAGGGCTCACTGCTGGCTCTGTGCTCAGGGCTCACTGCTGGCTCTGTGCTCAGGGCTCACTGCTGGCTCTGTGCTCAGGGCTCACTGCTGGCTCTGTGCTCAGGGCTCACTGCTGGCTCTGTGCTCAGGGCTCACTGCTGGCTCTGTGCTCAGGGCTCACTGCTGGCTCTGTGCTCAGGGCTCACTGCTGGCTCTGTGCTCAGGGCTCACTGCTGGCTCTGTGCTCAGGGCTCACTGCTGGCTCTGTGCTCAGGGCTCACTGCTGGCTCTGTGCTCAGGGCTCACTGCTGGCTCTGTGCTCAGGGCTCACTGCTGGCTCTGTGCTCAGGGCTCACTGCTGGCTCTGTGCTCAGGGCTCACTGCTGGCTCTGTGCTCAGGGCTCACTGCTGGCTCTGTGCTCAGGGCTCACTGCTGGCTCTGTGCTCTGCACTCACCTGAGAGTGCATGGGGATCATTATGGGGTGGCAGGAATCGAACCCCGGTAGGTACATGCAAGGCAAACTCCCACTGTACTCTCTCTGGCCTTTGACTGGATACCTTTAAACAACTTGTAAAACAAAGAGGTGATAGTCATTTTGTAGAAAAGAAACCAGTGTGGCAATTTTTTTTAAAAACTGAGATGGATTATGTGCAAATACTTCAAAAATTTAAAAAATTTCCTAATTTATACGGGAGGATTTGTATCCTTCCCTGACTTCCAAATTCATGCGGAAGCCTTGAACACCAATAACATGGTCTCTGCAGACCTCTGAATGTCATCAGGTCTAGCTGTGGTGATAAAGATGGTCCTTCCTGAGGTGAGGGGCTGAGTGACCTTCTAAGGGTCCAGAGCCTTGTCTGTCCGCCACGTGAGGTCAGAGTAATAAAGCAGCCATCAGCACACTGAAGAGCGCCCTCACTGTGAACGGAACCTGCCGGCGTCCTGACTGTTGACTGCCCAGAGCCAGAACTGTGAGGGACAAATCTTTTTTTTTTTTGCTTTTTGAGTCACACCCAACGTTCAGGGGTTACTCCTGGCTCTGCACTCAGGAGTTACTCCTGGCGGTGCTTGGGGAACCATATGGGATGCTGGGAATCGAACCTGGGTCGGCTGTGTGCAAGGCAAGTGCACTACCCGCTGTGCTATCACTCCAGCCCCAAGTCTTGCTGAAAGCGCGCAGTGTGTGGAATTTCATTACAGCAGCTAAGAAAATCACTGATACATAGAAAAGTACCCTTTTATTGAGAAGACAAGTGTATTTACAATATTCAATTTGTTAGATCATATAATCTGTGAGACTTTTTTTTTAAAGCAGCAGTTTCCTGGAAATTATGATTTTATAAGGAGAAAAAAAAATTCCAAATCGGTTTCTATTTCAGAAAATACATTTGAACAATGCCAGAAACACTTAAGGCTAGGAGTATCAGACCTTACCCTCCATCTTTACAGCAATAATTAGAGTACATTTTGTCACAAAGACAGAAGGCTCGTTCTTGAAAGGACGAAACTACAGATGTGCAGTGCTTTCTGTCAGAAGACTAGTTGGCCGAAACACAGCACGATCAATGGTTCTGAGTAAGAATTATGCGATGCTGACACACAGTCGCCAGTTCACATTGGAGACTAACTGGGCACTCGCTTCAAACTAAAAACTGCTTAGCCTCTTAGCTTACAAGGACCGGGAGGTTACGGAACCCTTTGACATGCTTCTAATAACGGCTTCTAAAATAAAACTGGAAAAGAGATCTCTGTTAAGAGTGCAAAGAACATTTTGATAGAAAGTCACGTCTACAAAAGAGTTAAAGAATACAGATGTTCCTTATACGAACAGGTATTATTCTTGCTCTAAAAAGGTAGAGTTGCCTAGCTACTGTAAATAAGATGGGTTGGTCAAAAATATATGTAACAGAGTTCTACAGGGCAACTGGTACAGTCAACCCCTCAAATATATATATATATATATATATACTTGACACTCTCTAAGTGAGGATATTACTTTTTTGAAGAACACTAGACACAACAATAGGTCTCTTGTGATTCCATGAACTATTGAGGTAGGAGTCTCATTTAGTCAATATCGTCTATTTTCACAGATTATAAGTCAAATGCTAGTACCAAAAAGCACCCCCTGCCCCCCTCCCCCCAAATAAAGAACAAAATCGTGACCCACAAGACTGAACCATTAGCTACAGACCGTCTTTGCTTCTTCAGATGAGCAAGTTTGGGAGTTCTCTGCAAACAAAGAGATTTAACTTAATAACCCAAGTTGGGACCTATTTTTATTTGTGTCTGTAAATAAAAATCACAAATTTCAAATGATGATTTTGTATATTAAAAAGCCGTGCAACAGGTTTTTTTTTTCTTAATTTTTTTTCCTTTTTTTTCTTTAAAGTAAATAACGCAATTGTTAGTGGTAAGACAAACAGTACTATGGCCGGTGAAATGTCTTCCAATGTCTATCACAAAAGCTGCCATCTCAGAATACAAATGGATGGAGAAACAATTGTTGATTCTTACTACTTGGCAGGCAGCGATGGTAGAAAAATAAAGCACACACCACATCACCTTTATTTTAGTGTTTTGTTTTCAAGAAACTACCATTAGTTTTATTACAGCAAAATAACTTTAGCATCGAGACTCAGGTGTTTTCACTAGGAACCCAAAATGAAGAGTGACCAGAGAATGCAAATGGCCATTGCATGCTGATTTTTGATGAAAAGGCGGAAAATGAGGGAAAAGTCCGTTTACATGAATAGCCCTCACAAAAAGCTATCAACTTAAACTTTTCACATATCACACCTTGAAAGTAAATCTTACCAACAGATAAGTTATGGAAAGAAAAAAAAAGCTGAAATAAAAAAAATAAAATAAAAAGGGAAAACATCATGGCATTAAAAAAAATTCTTTTGGTTTGCATTGTTTAATATTTTAAACAAAAGACTACAAAACAAGCTATGTAACAGACTATGTCATGGCCAAGAATGCTTTTGTTAAATGCTTCCGGGTAACGAATGATGCAGACAGTTAGGTCAGGCTCCCAGTGGGGGTGTGTGTCTCGAGGGCACGCGGCTGACTCAGCGAGGGGGACAGCTCTAATCCCGAACTTACGCACTGGTCAAGAACGACCTTCGCATATTCCAACAGACTATGCAGTTCAGATTTTCACCTGGTTTTAAAATACTAATTCAAAAGAACTACAAAAATTTCATTTTAAACCTTATGTCTACCCAAAGGGGCGGGAGGAGGGAGGTGGTTGTGATTCAGACATCAATACTGGGTTTTCCTTGGCTGGAATCCACGGAGGTGACAAATCCAATCCAACTCATGCATCAGTCGCAGCGACACAGCGCAACCGGGCACACTTCTGTCAGCACAGTGGGCACCTTTAAAAAGCACGTCTCTGGGCACTGCTGCCCTTTCCAGCAGGAACGCAAAGAAACAGCCACCACCTTTCTGTAGGGATGGCCGTGCCGGGCACATGATGGAAACCAGAGTCACCTTTGAGAGTTCCCACATGCGTCGGGACACATGCCTTCATTTTCTTGCTTCTTCATGGATGACTTGATTAGAATCCCGTTCTCACTGGTTCTTGGTTAACTGCTCTTGGTACTTTGTACGCTACACGTCTTTAAACTTCCGTAAAGCACATTACAAGCTATTTCATGTGATTTAATTTTGTGCTGAGTATTCTTCAAAAGATTTCATAAATAACACAATGTTTTAAATGAGTCCTCTAGTCACGGTTGTTATACCATAGTGTTGCTTTCTCCAACTTTATCTACGAACTGCAAGGAGAAGACAGAGAGGTAATTACTCGGCCTATAGTTGTACAAGGATTGGTAACAAAACCTTACGTGTTGCTTTGAAAGACCAGCTTTGTAAGAGGTTTGTGAAAAGTTGATGACTGACAATGATTAATCTGAAGCTACTTACCACTATATTCTGCCACATCAATGTGTATTAAAAGACTTGTTTTTCTAAAAGCTGCTCTTATATACATATGACTTTAAGGGTGCGACATGAGAAATGCAACACAATGATCAAAATAATGGATAAAATGAAGTTAACACTGCTAGCTTAACCAAAAAAATAAAAAAAGAAAAAGAAAAAGCTGAAATGCCAGCCAATCATGCATTAATAAACCCAATAAGATATTTCAACTGACCAGTACTGTGCATCTTTTCTGGGCCTATGTGGTCTTTGGACAAACAGATTGAACTCCATTAAGTTCAATAAATAACAGTAGCTAGTAATTAAAAATACTTTTAAACGTGTATTTTGAACTTCAGACTGAAGTAGCAAAGACATTAAAAATAAATTCACTAAATAACGCAAGCATGAATTTGTAAGTACTGAGCATAAATTTAAAAAACATTAATGTAAAAATTTAAAAAAACATTAATGTAAATGGCTTCCTTTGACTACTTTCACCCCTGGTAGAGTAACAGGGCATTCTTCAGCATTCTAGATGGAGACACAAATCTTGAAACAAAGTAATTAGTGAAGGTATTAAAATGATCAAAAGATAACAATGAACTCTTTTATTTCACTATTCACATTACTTAGTATCTATTGATAAGACTGGGAAACAATTTATAACATTGCGTGTCCATTTATGTACACAAAGAAGAATCCTTAAAAGAAGAAAACAAGTAATGATTACAGGTTTAAAACTAGTTTTTTCTGCAAACTCAAAAGCTGTTTGAAGTATAAACGATATTAAGTTTGAAACTGAGTTTGGAGATTAATGCAAAGAAAATTAGACTATGTCCCTTATAAGCCCAGACTCTGAAATTTTGTATAACGACAAGTAGGTGATTGACACTTCATAGGACGTGATGCTTGGGCAGTATTTATGGATTCATGAGAATTTCAAGGGAAATTCAGGTCGAGAGAAAGACACTTTCTCTCCAAAGCAGCATCAAATATCGATGTGGTCTGGCTCCACGCTGGCCGGGAAGGGAAGTGATGGCAGGCGCCAGCAGGGAAGTCATCTTTCTGCTCTTTGAGAATTCAAGACATACACGGACCATCTCTCTAGAAACATCTACAACGATCTCCAAGCAACTGTCAGCTGCTGCTGGCCTGTCCTGTCCTGGAGAGATCTGGCAAGGCTGCTGGGACCGCAGACAGGGCTGGGAACGGAATCTGACCCGCCGACTCCCAGCATTGACTGACGGCGCTTTGTGAATTCCCCGAAGGGACTCCACTTGCCAAAATGGCAGAAGACAGGATTTACAAGAATCTATTGTCCTCTCTGTGTGTGGCTGCTAGTCACAGAAAGCTGGAAAAGTGTTTTGAAATCTCAGAGAAAGGTGGTACGGCACACCAATCAGAGTTAGAGTGAAACAGAGTTAAGACCAAAAATGGATGCGGCCATACGGTCAAAGAAAATGCAGATTTTATAATCAATGCTATTGATTAAAAATAATCCAATTTTCATGGCAAGCGTGATCGTGTGTGTGTCGTTTAGATCAGAAGGAGAAAAGGTCTTATTAAATCAGCCATCAGTCAATCACTCAAATTTCCAGATGAGCATCTAAGAGTATTCATTTGAATGGGTTAGGAAGCATCGTGCCAAAGACAGGATTACTCACTGATCTAATTCCAGGTAAGTTCAAGAGCGATCCCAGGACTGGCACTCTCCTGATAAAGCCGACGACCACAGGGAAGAAGCCCCTGCAGAGGAGGGAAACGCTCAGAATTCACACGTTCTCCAGGAAGCCCCCACCGGCCGGGTCAGAGGAGTGAACCCCGCTAGAATCTGTGATGCCTGGATGCTTTGGGCTCTCCAGGTTACCCTGGTCCCCAGATCCTAGATCTGAGGAGGGCAGGGGAGCAACCTAGTGGACAGCAGGAACAGGGGGCGATGCAGGGACCTCGGGAGTGGGAGCTACAGAGCTGTGGCAACACCGAAGGCAGGAGACCCCAACCACAAAAACCAAACTAACAAGGTGCCTCAAGAACACAGACTCGGGGTAGGAGGGAACCTGGGACACTGGTGAGGGAAGATGACGCTGGTGGTGGGGGTCTGGTACAGAAACACTGTAAGCTGGAACCCAACTAGGAATAGCTTTGTAGCTCACGGTGACTTAACGAAAGGGTGACGTTTTATCTTCAGTACTGGAGGGGACGGGGCGAGGACTTGGGCCACTCCGGACGCTACTCAGAGGCTACTTCTGGCTCAGTGATCGGGAGTGACCTTTGGTGGTATTCGGGGGGGGGGGGGGGGGGGGGGGGGAGGGGGGAGCCTTCCGAGGTAGCAGGGAGTTGAATCAGGGTTGAGGCAGTGGCGCAGGGCGTCCTCCTGTCCTGACAGTCTCTCCAGCCCCCAGGGTTTGGATTGCTTGATGACCGGGAGGTCTGGCCACCAACTCTAGTTACTTTCCTTCCCTCTCCCTGCGCGGGGACCCTTTTTTTGCGTGCTCCGATGATAATACTTCGGAGACAGATCGATAACAGGATTACGACCACCCTACTGGGAACTTTACAGCCCATTTCCCGGAGGAGAAATGAGGAATCTTCTGAATTACGTTGGGCACTTAGCTGACTTTTATGTTTCTAGTAGACAGCATGGTGCCTGGGAGACAGAAGACAAAGGGCACATTTTCAGAACAAGCAATTAAGCCAACCCGACTTCAGGGTGGCGTCTCCCCGCACATGACTGTTCATTTTGGTAACTGGTACGTATATGTCAAGTTACATCATTTTTGAAGATTTACACATTTACAGAGAGCTGATCACCACCTCCCACCCTGTATTTGGAAGAGAATTTCCAACCGCATGTACACACGAAAGGCATTGTCGTTAAGTGGCAGGATTCATACGGGTTCAACATATCCAAATGCTTGATTGTTCCCTTGGGGCCAGGAACAAGGACAGGAATTAGGACATGTGCCCAGCATGCAGCCGACCCGGGGTCAGGTCTGAGTGCCACAGGCTTCCCCAGCATCACGTCCTGGGTGTCCAGGAATGGCCACGAGGGCCCCAGACCTCCCGAGCACGACTCGAGGGATGCCCCTGCCCAACCACACTCCCGCCTGAAAAAAGACACTCCATCTATTTTTCTTTCTTTTTTGTGGCTATGTAGTTAATGAACAAGCATAAAGGCATTTATGCACTGAAAATACTCTCTACGGGAATTACTACCCTGGCACGGGCACTCACGAACATTTGGGAAAGATTCTAGAGCTGGTTTGGTTTAGTAAACTGCCATGACAAGAGTCAACGTACACAAAAATTCATTTAAGAAAATTAGTCTTCCTTACTCTTGCTAATACAAACACATACCTTTGTATGTACGTAAGTCTGTACGTATTTCTTTTATTTTACTTTTTGGCTTTTTGGGCTGGCCCAGCAGTGCTCAGGGGTTACTCCTGGCTCTACACTCAGTAATCACTCCTGGAAGTGCTTGGGCGACCATATGGGATGCAGGAGACCGAACCCAGGTAGGCTGTGTGCAAGACAAATGCTCTACCCCCCCCCCCCCATACTATAGCTCCGGCCCCCACAAATATATTTTTATTGCATGACTGACCGGCTTACCAAAAGAGAAGGAATAAAAAGATCGCCTTACCTGAACAGGAGGAAGAATCCATAAATTTCAAAGATCATGCCTATCAATGGCCAACCGACCAGGACGACAAACACGCCTCCCAGGAAAAACCCAGTTGCTTTCATTTTATGCTTCTGGAAGAAGAATCTGAAAGTCCTTTCTAAACCAATTACGAAAGCGAGGCCAGCCACAAACAAAACCTGGGAGAAGAAGAGAAAAACACAGAAACAAAAGCAAGGACAAGTAGATAAGAGCAGTTATACACACACCACGCATCTGCAAAGGTGGGTCAAAGCTAGCCACAACCAAAAACAGCTGAGGGGCAAGGCTGGGGGGGAGCTGGGCGCGTGGAAGCTTAGGGGGCCCCTCACTCTCCGCAGACAAGATGCAAAGACTCAGCACGACTGATGCCTGCACGGGCCCAGCTTTCCCGGAAAGTGGACGGTTCAGATGCACAGGTCAACCCTAGGCGCCTGGGGTTCTGAAAGCTGCCCCCCCAGGCTATAGGAGTTCCTCTGTGTGGGAGAAAAACACGGATGTGGTCAGGCTGAGCAGACCCCACCCTCAGGAGGGCTCTAGTTCCAGCAAGGCCGGAGTAGCCAGATGGAGGCTGCACCGCAAGAAACACAGAGTCCAGGGGGCTCAAATGTCCACACGTCTGGCATGCTCGGGTAAGGCAGGATGATGGACCCAAGCGGGTAAGGCCCTCTGGTTTTGTGCCTGAGTACCATGGTGTTTCTACATGGAAAACCTTCCCTGTAGGTAATGAGCTTAATGATTACGGTGAACAGTCTATGTGGCCGATGTTCACAGCATCAGTAATAAACATTTTCATCATTCATTTTTTATTTTATTTCCCAATTCCCACTGAAAAGTAAATGATACAACAAATACGTCAAAATGTTTCATCGGGATTCAGTGGCCCCATGTTCCCTTGGAAAGGTTTTAATTCCTAAAGCTTCGGTCTAAGGGGCACATTCCAAGGTGACCCACCACACACTCGCCTTTCCAAGCAAGTTAACTCTGAATACGATATAGAAAATGCCTTAAAGGTTTGAAGGGTTTTTTGAAAAAAGTCTGCCTATTTTATGCCACTGAATCAACTGTAAAAAATGAGAAGTCTGAAGGCAAGATGAAGAGATTCGAAGTCCCGGGGGCTTCCAGCAGCCCCTTCCGAGGGGGATCTTGGCCAGACAGGCCAGAGGTTCAGGAGGTTCAATGCAAGAACCAGGGGCTGCCCCACAGTGCCCGGGACAGAGGACTGCCTAGGTGACCTCCCAACTGCTAAGTAGAGGACAAGAACTCCAGGGCCACGGCCAGCGGTGCTCAGGGTTCCCCAGGGCAGCGCCCCGAAACGCTGGCGGCACGCAAGGTCTTGCCTTAGGCCCTGTCCTTCCCCCGCGGCCTCAAGTCATCTCTCTGGCTCCCAGTTCAGAGCAGTCTGCGTTTCATCGACTGCAAAATCACGTATCAGGCCCTTAATAGAGAATTTATGAAATGAGGACCTTTCTAAGCACTCATCTTTTATGCATCTGGAGAGATTTTCATTACAGGGAAATAAGAAATAACAGGAATCTTTACATGTCTGAATTACTTCCCTCAAATTTAATAGTAGGCAAGAATTGATCTGCAGTTAATGGTTCCTTATGAATTTTGTTAAAATACGTATGAAAAACACTCACATTTCCAATAGCCAGTAGTGCTTTGTCAAAAAAGAGAATCATCCCAAAGAACAGGAAAAACACTCCAAATCCTGTTAATCCCATTCCAATTTCTGCAAATACAAACGACATCATTAAGGGCAGACACAAAATGAACGTTACAAAGTTACATTTAGAGCTGCAGAAACTAAAGCGTATCCTTTTCACCCCTTAGGGCTGATAAAGAAAAAGAGGTTCCAAACATTGCAAGTTTAACATGATGATGACGTCCATTAACCTGTATAACAAAATCTAGTTAACAACGGCAAATTAACTCAAGAGCAAAACAAATGGAAATTTTTCATCTGTATTGTAGGCAATATTTATCACAAGAAAACATACCTATCATAGAAAAAGACCAGTCAGGATCTGAACCTTCTGATTATTCTTTTTTTCCTCCCTCCCAAGAGTCCCTCCGGCCTCAGCCCCAGATACAGGGATTATTTCTACACAGTCCACGACCCGACTTCTATGCAGGACTCCTTCTCTCCCCTTGAAAGCCAGTTCCTTCTCGAACCACTAAAGTGCGGCTAGGTGAGCAGGTTGTACTTCACGCGCTGATAGGATTCCCCACCAGGTAACAGGAAACATTTTGAGAATTCAACTTCCTAACTAGGAAACACTTTCAGCTTCTTGATGGTTTATAAGGGCTTTATCTTCTCCAGCTCCATCTCAATTGTTTGCATACTTAGCCTAAAATCCTACCATCTCTCCCAAGTGTCGGAGAGCACTGTTTCAGCTAGTATAAATATTCTGGAATTTTTTAAATCTTTCAAAACACAAGAACAACAAACAGACCAACTCCTAGACGCGAGGCCTGTGGCACTCAGTGAACACAGGGACCTGGAGCATCAGCTCTGAAGCCCGTCCCGGCCTACTGGAACCAACCACGAGACCAACACTACCTTCTTTTTCTAAGTCTGCCTCCCTCTGTCCTTCCCGAGGAGGGTGGGGGTGACTGCTGGCTCTGTGCTCAGGAGTCACTCCTGGGGATGGGGGGCAGATAGGGTTGCCCTAGGCCATGCACTGCCAGGATTGAACAGCAGGCAGCAGGCAAGGCAAATGCCTCAGTCTCTCCCTAGGCTTAATTTCCTGAGATTACGGCTGGATTTTCCTGTTAACATCACAGAGCACAAACAGCACATCCTCGAAATTCTGAAAGCATTACTTTCAGAGTAACAGTTGCAAGTTCTTACTGTACCCAGAGTACTACCCACAAACAAACAAACAAAAAAACCCCAAAAAACAGAGCAGAAACTACTGTATTTGAGGAAAGAACAATTTTAAAATATGGCATTAGTGATTTAGAACTTGTTGCTTAACTTCTCCTCGGTTCCAGGAAGCTAAAATCTAGGTCACAGATTCTTAATATTTTAAGCCATATAAAATGTTCTGATAAGTTGAAAATTTATAGCTTAAACCTTTCTGTACAACCTGCACCTCCTCAACTAATAGTCAACTATTGTCTCCCACTGCAGAGACCTTTCCCCCCACAGTTAATCAGAAAGAATTCAGGTGCACGCCAACAAATCCACTGGAAAATTTATTCTGCGGACACAAATTCCTATGGACATATGACGCAGACATTGCATATTTGAATGCCTTAAGAGAATTTACTAAAATAATTGCTTACAGATGGCAGACCTAATTCCCAAAGGAGAGTATAGATGAAAGAACAAGTTAAATTCCATTAAGTGACGATTACCAGTTAGGATTTAATTGTTGGGAGCAGTTACTTGAATATGCTTATTCCTATCTTTGCACAAATACCCTATCTGAGAATGAAGAGGGGAAGCGCACTCTGGAGAAATGCAAGTACTGGGTACTGAGTATTAGCCACTGGAGGCACATTCCAGCCCTTCAACAACGGAACCCTCTCGGCAAACTGCAGAGTCAGTCTCAGTTATCTTAGAGACGGAGGAAACGACACTGACTTGATTTCTGCCTCAAGTCCTATTTCTGAGCGAGCACCTACGCCAGCTGTATTTGATTCCAAAGTCCGCGATCTTAACCATATGCCACACTGCTGCTCCACAGGCTACCCCCCCCCCCCCCCCAACCCGGTTCGTATTTGGTTAAGGAACACCCAGGCCACGGGCCTCTCCCCGCCATCTGGGGGAAGTGCCTGTGGTCGGTTCCCATCTGATTCAGACGTGATGGAACAGCACAGGAACTGCAGTGGAGAGAAACAATGTTCGAGGAGGGTTTTGGGTTAAATGAAGCCTTCCTAGAAACATCTTAAGTACCTTTCTCCAAATTGTAAGGTCAAGAGGAGCACGGTCTGTGTCTGCTGTGGGCAGGGGTGGAGGGAGGAGAGGCAGAGCCTCCTGGCTGGGCACTGCCCGTGAAGTCCACCTGCTCTCTACGGGGAAGGCAGATAGAGCCTCAGCCGAGAGTCTGCGACCCCGGCTCAGCGGCCGGCAGAAGCGTTGGGAGCGTCTGTGAGGCGTGTGGGGTGAGGGGTGCGTTGTCGGGCTAGGCTCGCCGTGGGGTCCTGCCCCTGCGTCCTACCACCCCTCGGGAACCAGGAGTCAGACTCCATCTCTGGCGGTCCGGGAAGAGTGGTCTGTGGCATCTCTGCCCCAAGTGCTAGCGCGGTGCTGCCAACGGGGCCAACACCTCACGGGGCCTCACCGCGGCCTCGCATCTCCCCAATGCTCTTCCCCTGCACCTGCACGGGTGCGAAAGGCCTGCACACGGCAGCCCTCCCCTCCCCCAATAGCATACTGGGAAACAGATTTTTATTCTCACGCACACACACACAAGCAGTGCTATGTTTCTTCCTTGTGGGGTTACACTTCTCCCATGCCCGGGGACACTCTGGGCGCTGCTCGAGGTTATTCCCAAAGGTGCTTGGTGGAGACCACAGTTCTGGGGACCCCAGGCGATCTCTCCCCAAGGAGAGAGCTTTAAAAAAAAAAAGCACGGCCTGCTAACTTGGCTAAACCATTAAGGCCGGGGAACTCTTTCTTTTTCTCTCTCTTCTTTTCCTCCCCTTCTAATACAACGTCTTTTACTTTGTAACTGTTCCAGGCCAGAACTTCAGAACAGCAGGTAAGGCACTTGCACACAGCCAACCTCAGTTAAGGCCCCATCAGCACATATGGTCCAGCAAGTGTGCCAGGAGTGATCCCTGAGCACAACTGGGCATGGCCCAAGGCCCCTCCTCCCAGAACTGTGATACTGATGTCGTGGGCCCTACGGGTGACTTAGGTGAAGCGGAGGGGAGAAAGACGGTCACTTTCTCCCCTTCCACCTCTGCCACCTGGGACTCAGGGTTACTGGGTTCTTCTCTCGCCTTGCCGAGAGGAATTTCAGGATTAGACAAGCAGTGAAATTACACAGTTTTTTATTTGGAGGTTTTGCAGGGAAGGAGGGAGAGGAGTGGGAGAGAGTGGAGAGTAATGTGCTCAAGAAGAGAGCCCAGGCTTCTCCAAGGGCAGAGAGAGCCCCTCCACACATCCCAGCATTAGGCATGAAAACATGAAAGTCCACCTCTCAAGAGGGGAGATGCGGGCGACACATGTGCTCAGGCACCACATGGGCTCCGGCAGCATATGCGCCAAGGCTGCGGAACTCGAATAAAATACACGCTGAACCCAATGACCCTGGATTAATCACTGTTCACATTTGGGTACTGTGTTTAAAAAAACTGCTAAACAGCATTTCTTTCTTACCGAGGCCTTTAAAAACTATCAAATGGGACCAGAGAGACAAGTGCCTTACAGTAGGTTACACACTTGAGCTTGATTCCTGCCACCACGTGTGGTCCCCAGAGGCCCTCCAGGAATAAGCCCTGAGCATTGCAGGGTGTAACCAAAACAAAGAAAACCCAAAATGTCATCAAGAACCAAACTGGGTGTCAACCAAACTCAATTCAATTAAATATCATGGCAGAATTTTAGGCTATGTTACATAATGATTTAGAACGGTTCAGAGGCACCTTCAAATGAAAAAAGGATCCATTTAGGTTTGGGGGAGGGGTCTATTACGGAATTCTCTCGAAACAAGCATCCATTGCTCCTTACTCTATTCTGATCAGTGCTTAGTCCTTGTCTCCCAGAGTCAGAACCTTAGAATATATCCGGAGTGATGGCCACTTGCTGTATTAAAAGCACCCACAAACATCATTTGAAATCCAAAGAGCTTTCAATTCACTAATCACTTTGGGTTCTAATCAATTGCTCCTGAAACATGTGGCAAGAGAGGTCCAAAGAGACAATTTCATCTTCCTCCCGATTTAATGAATCGAAGAAAATATTCCTATTTGGCCTAGCGTCTAACCCAAGCTCCTTTCCTTGGGTTCTTGAAGGAGATAAACTAGGCACTTGTCCCTTGAAGAATGGCCAATAGAGCAGAGTCTTATATGCACAGGATGCAGAACTGGCTACGTGGTGTTAGTTGTGGGGGACACTCCCAGTGGCCGTGCCCCGCCCCGCCCAGTGCTGGGAACCAACCCAGACACCACTTGAGCTACATCCCCGACACTCTGTAATTTTGGGGGAGTTGAGTCACACCCAGCTATGTTCAAGGCTACTCCAAGCTCTGTGCTCTGGGACCTTATATGGATGGAACCAGGGACAGAAGTGTGCAAGGGAAGAGCGTTACCCACTCTCCAGGTTCGATCATTCTTTTGGGGGCAGAGTGGGGGCACACCTGGCTTTGCCCTCAGGGATCACTCTTGGTGGGTTTGGGAGACGATACGGCGTGCGTGGGCTTTAGACCCTGATCAGACATGTGCAAGGCAAGCGCCCCATCTGCTGTCCGGTCCCTCCAGCCTCCCATCATTCATTTATTTACATATAGTATTCACAAAATCAGATAGGACAGGTGGATTACGCTAATATCTAGTTTGATTAGAAGACCATACAGCGATTACATACTTCTTTTGAGTAATCAGAACCTGAAATAAATTCAAGCAACTGGGTACACGATTCTTAAAATTTCCCCAGACAATCTAATTTCAATTTGGGGCTTCAACAAGGAATAGAGCACTATGTATCATAAAGACAAAAAAATAGCTCTAAATATCCCATACAAATCTCTCTCACATCACCTATTATGCATAATTCTATAGGTAAGCATTGAGTATTTACTTTTAAAGTCTTTTATTCTAAAGAAGAATTTCATCATTCTTAGGCTGATCTCCAAAGTTTCTATAAAAAAAAATTTTTTTTTTTAAAAGAGGCTAGCTGGAAACAGGGTACAGTTAAAGTCGGCCAACATGGGAACAAGTCTGGTTCTTCTCATTTTTCCTTATGACCAGACCCGGAATTCTTTTGTAAGTCCTATAACTTATGAAAGTCATATACTCCAGCCCTGCCACAGGGCTCTTAAGAATTAAGACTTGGTTTTATATAAAAGCACTTGGTAAAATGAATGACGCTTTTGAACAACTGTGAGTTTTCACTGCAACAGCACATAAACAACAAAAGGGTTATACGGATATTTTCTTTGATTAGAACTGGTGAGGCCAAAAGATAAAAATGAGCACCTCTCATACAGGACCGGTTCAGCCTCCCAGGGGAGGAGTCGGATTGGCGAGCCCGTGTGTGGGCAGGAGCCCTGGGCAGCTTCACCCGGCCGCAATACTACACTTTAACTAGGGCATTGAAAAGGAAGTCCCATTTTCATCCCCCTCGATTGATTATTTTTCCTAAACATCTCGTAATACTCAAGTTCAGTTAACCAGAAAATGAAGCATCAGTGGATAAAGGGACGTGCAGTGGGAAAACACCCAACCTAAACCAAATCAAACCAAACCCAACCCCATCTCACCACCCAGGATGGGTGGGCAGCTCAGAGCAGGGGAAAAGCAACGCTGACCCGGTACAGGGGGCAGGGCAGAGGGGAAGGTGATCTGATTGAGCAAAGGACAGGGGCACTAAGCTTAGAGAGGCGACGGGCCCCAAGGCGGGTGGGGTGGCTCCTGGGAGGCAGGCGGAAACACATGCTCAAGTCAGGAAAACAAAGCCGGCCACGGAAGAAGGCGCTTCCGAGCTCCCAGCCCAGCCCGGACGGGCTTTGCAGGCTGCAACCTGAAACCCGCAGAGAAGCTGCAAGGGTCTCCCGGGACTGTCCGAAGGCGCTTCCGGGGTGGCAGGGGGCCAGGCCCGGAGTCCCTGGAGCAAGCATGCTCCTGCACAGGGCACAGGCCTGTGTGTGTGTGTATTGCAGGCTGCCCGCAGGTGGGGGGGGGGGGGGGTGTGTGTCTTGGGGGGCTGTCCACAGGCGGGGTGTGTGTGTGTTGGGGGCTGTGTGTGTTGAAGGGCTGCCCCTGTCCGCAGGTGGTGTGTGTGTGTGTGTGTGTTAGGGGGCTGTGTGTGTTGGGGGTTGTGTGTGCATTGGGGGCCTGTATGTGTGTTGGGGGCTGTGTGTGGGGGGGCTGTGTGTGTTGGAGGCTGTGTGTGTGTGTTTGGAGGCTATGTGTGTGTTGAAGGGCTGCCCCTGTCCGCAGGTGGTGTGTGTGTGTGTGTGTTAGGGGGCTGTGTGTGTTGGGGGTTGTGTGTGCGTTGGGGGCCTGTATGTGTGTTGGGGGCTGTGTGTGGGGGGGCTGTGTGTGTTGGAGGCTGTGTGTGTGTGTTTGGAGGCTATGTGTGTGTTGAAGGGCTGTCCCTGTCCGCAGGTGCTGTGTGTGTGTTGGAGGCTGTGTGTGTTGGGGGGCTGTGTGTTGGGGGTTGTGTGTGCGTTGGGGGGCTGTATGTGTGTCGGAAGCTGTGTGTGTGTGCGTTCGGGGCTGTGTGTTGGAAGTTTTGTGTGTGTGTGTCTACTGGGGGCTGTGTGTGCTGGAGGCTCTGTGTGTGTGTCGGGGTTGTGTGCTGGGGGCTTGTGTGTTGGATGCTGTGTGTGTGTGTTGGCGGCTGTGTGTGCGTTGGGGGGCTATGTTGGGGGTTGTGTGTGTGTCGGCGGGCTGTCCGCCCACAGGGGCAGCTCCCCATCCCCCCCTGCCCCCGAGGGTCCCTGCGCCCACCCGGCTCCCCCGCCCGCCCCGCCCCCGCCCCCGCCCCCGGCCCCGGCCCCGGCCGGTCGCGCAGGCCGCCCCATTCATTGCCCGGGCGGCGGGCGGGCGGGCTCGGCGGGCGCGCGGGGTGCGGGGTGCGGGGCGGCCCGCGGGCAGGGGCTTACTCTGCGTGTCCGTCAGGGAGATCATGGCTGCAGCCGAGGGGGCGCCGGGGACGGCGGGTCGGGGCCGAGCGGGGAAGCCGAGTCCGGAGCGGAGGAGCCGGGAGAGCGCCCAGGCGCGAGCCGCCACGTCTTCCGGAAACACGCAGCCGCCGCGAGCCCGGGCGCAGGCCGGCCTCTCATTGGCCCAGCCCGCTCCCAGTATCGGCCAATGGGCGGGGGCCTTGTTCGGTGACGCGCCGGGCGGCCACACCCCCGGACCAATCAGCGAGGCGGCCGGCCGGTGATTGGTGGAGCGGCCCGACCCGGAAGGGAGGCTGCGGGGGGTCGGACGGCCGGGCCGGGCTCCTGGCGGGAAGGTTTGTGTCCTCCGGGCGGCTGCGAGGCGGTGCGTAGGGGCCCGGACCCCGGCGCTCGGGGTGGGGGTCGGGGAGCTCGGCAGGGTGGGCTGGTGCCTAGGCCCCGGCGGGACACGTGCTTCCCTCCGAAGGGACCCTGGTGGAGAGGCGGGGCGACTGGACATCCCTTCTCTGCACCCGGCGTGGATCGCGGGGAGACGGTGCCCGGCCTTGGAGGGGCTCGTGGTCCTGCCAGCGCCCCCCCCGCCGCCCCCCTTCCCCTTGCCCAGCCTTTGCCACGCAGGGGGCTGGGTCACCGAAGCCCGAGGCTGGCCACGTCCGTGGATTGGGCCCCACGCCCGTGCAGTGGCCCGGAGGCCTGCGGGGCTCAGGGGCAGGGAGAAGCAGGTTGTGTCTGCGTGTGTCTTAGCCTTCAAAGGTGTGTTTGCAACTCTGCAACTAGGGGTGTGTGTGTGTGTGTGTGCGCGCCTTAGTCTTCAAAGCGTGTGTTTGCACTTCTATAACTAGGTGTGTGTGTGAGTGTGTCTCTGTGTGTGTTACCCTTCAAAGCATGTGTTTGCAGTTCTCTAACTAGGTGTGAGTGTGTCTGTGCTTGTGACTTAGACTTCAGAATGTGTGTTTGCACCTCTATAACTAGGTGTGTGTGCGTCTGTGTTTGTGTCTTAGCCTTCAAAGCGTGTGCTTGCACCTCTGTAACTAGGGGTGTGTGTGTGTGTGTGTGTGTGTGTGTGTGCCTTAGCTTCAAAGCATGTGTTTGCACTTCTATGGGTGTGTGTGTGTGTCTGTGTGTGTTAGCCTTCAAAGCATGCGTTTGCAATTCTATAACTAGGTGTGTGTGTGTCTGTGTTTGTGTCTTAGCCTTAAAAGTGTGTATGTGCACTTCTGTAACTAGGTGTGGTTATGACTTAGCCCTCAAAGCATGTGTTTGCAACTCTATAGGTGTTTGTGTGTGTGTGTGTGTGTGTGTGTGTGTATTTGTGAGTTGGCCCTCAAAGCATGTGTTTGCACTTCAGTAACTAGGGGTGTGTGTATGTATGTGGAGTGTTTATGTGTGTCTTTGTGTGTGTCTGCCTTCACAGCATATGTTTGCACCTCTGTATAATTGGTGTATGTGTGTGTGTGTGTGTGTGTGTGTGAGACTTAGCCTTCACAGCGTATATTTGCACCTCTTTATAATTGGTGTGTGTGTGTGTGTGTGTGTGTGTGTCTGTGTCTGTGTGTATTTGTGACTTAGCCTTCAAAGTGTATGTTTGCACCTCGGTTCCTAGCTGTGTAGCTGTGACCCAGCATTTCCCCTGTGGGTTTCAGCTTGTATTTGTGTAGGACACTCGCTAATTTCCGAACACATTTGAAGTTGGGAGATCTTTTACTATTAAGCCCCATCATTTGGTGAAGAGCCTTGAAGCTCTTTAATTTTTGTTTTGGGGTGTGTGTGTGGGGGGGTGCATTGTGGGGGGGAGTTGGGTACAGCCTGCAGAGCTTAGGGACTACTCCAGGCTCTGTGCTCCTCCCAGCAGACCTTGGGGAATCAAACCTGCTTGCAGAATTTGCACTCAAGTGGCTTGAACTTTCTCCTCCAGCCCTGTGAGCTTTTGTTTGTTTGTTTGAAGGGGCATACTCAAAAGACTTGTATGCAATGGGGGGGGGGGGGGTCGGGGGGATGGTTAAAGATGGAATTCTCACCTAAGGGACCAGAGACCATCTGCTTTCAGGCTCCGCAGCTTGAGCCTGGACTTTATAAGACTCGGCCAGGTTATGTGCACACAGAGTTGGAGAGATTGAATCCCTGCCTTGCGGCTGGAGACCCCCAGGAGTCTAGAGCAGAATTCCCATTTCCTCAAAGTAGTGACATGATACAGGGGAAGATACAAGTATCAAAGTGCCCTTTAGCTGGTAGTGGCGCTTCCAAATCCCTTCACAAGACAAAATAAGCAAATAAATAATTCAGAAAACCCTTGTCCATATTTCCCGGTGACTGCAGCCCTCAGATTTCTACCTGGGCAGGGTAACAGTCTCCCTAGTTAGTCTGCAGGAGGCTAAGTTGATGCTGAACCTGTTTTGGGAGAACATTCTAGATTGGGGTCAGAAGTGTGGTCCTCAGAGCTTCTGGGGACTTGGGGTGATGGGAAGTTCCTGCCCGCAAGCCTGATGTCCTTCCACTTGCACCTGTCTTTGCCCCTTCACACCAACCATGTCTAAGGCCCTTTTTGACTTCACAGTCTCACCTTGTGAAGCCTGACCCCTCCCGAGGATATCAGTTCTTGGCTTTAAGATTAAACCCGAATCTGACTCTCGAAAGCAGGAGGCCAGTGGAAATTCTAAAAGATGGTCATGTTTTGCAGAATGTTGTTGCGATGTTTGAAGTCTCCCATCTAGGACCTCTCCTGGTTTTACAGATAGGACAAGAAGCTGAAAGGAACAAGGCGTGTAGCTTGGCTAAAGTCACATAGTTATTTGGTGTTAAAGCTATTCAACCTAAAAAAAAATTGATTTTGGGGGTGCAGGTTGGTACTGGTGAGGGGCTTATGAGGACTTTACACTTTTTTTTTTGTTTTTTTGGATCACACCTGGCAATCCACATGGGTTACTCCTTGCTCTGCACTCAGGAATCACTCCCGGCAGTGCTCAGGGGACCGTATGGGATGCTGGGAATCGAACCCGGGTCGGCCGCGTGCAAGGCAAACCCCTACCCGCTGTGCTATTGCTCCAGCCCCAGCTTTCCACATTTGAATCACGTCCTCCATCACTTGAACCATACCCTGGGCCCACAAAGTTTTGTGGCTCTTGTGAACATCCCATTTTGTAGTAGCTGATGCTCATTAAGTATAATTGACATTGTACCTGCTATTTCCTCTGTGTGACTTTGGGCATTTCTGTGAAATTGAGAGATTCCCTCTTCCCCTCTCCCCATAAAAATTAGTGTGGGAAAAACTTGGTAGTCCTACTTTGAAAGTCACCAAGTATATAAACTGCTTTTCTAACCTTTTCATGCTTAGTCGTGACATCATTGATTGAGCATTATCTTCGGCATTTTTAAAAGGCTGCTCTGATTTTTTCTATTTTTAGAAAGAAATTTGGATTTCCAATTCAATGTTAGAATGGCGTCGGTTTCAGGTTAGTGAGAATGGTTCTGTTTTGGAGTTTATTCTGTTCTAATTGCATGTTCTTTCGGGGGGCAGGGGAGGTGAATACCAAATACCTTTTTTACTCTGTTCCTCCTTTTCGGTATGGTTGTGGGCTTTAATTGCTTAAAAATTCGAATGAAAAAATGATTTCATGTATTTGTTTAAAAGTTCTGATAATAGAGATGATGTCTTCCCACTTTTATTGCAAAATGTACATAATAAAAATGGAATTCTTGAAGATGTTCTGTGCCGTTTTGTTGCTGAGGTAACCTGGTTGGCAGAAGTGCCGCCGTTTCTGCCTCTGATGTTCCTGACTGCCTGTCCTCACAGTAACTGTCCAGTCCTTCCACCCTGGCCTGAGTCCCCTCTCTTCCCTCTCCTAAACTCAGTTCTCTTGGCAACGTGTAGCGTTTGCTTTCATTGGGCGCGATCTCTTTCGTTGCTTGGCGTCTTTTTTTTGTTTTTGGAAGAAACTCAGTGTTGCTTAGGGGACCGTGTGGTGAAACAAGGGGTGAAACCCCGGCCTCCTGCACAAAGTTACACTGCACGTGCCCTGTTAACTCGCACTCTCTCCTACCCAGGTCTGTCGCTTTATATTCCGCAAGACATTGTCCTATATTTGTTTTCGTTCTTTTCTTTCTTTCTTTCGTTCGTTCGTTTGTTCTTTTTTTTTGCTTTTTGGGTGACACCTGTCGATGCACAGGGGTTACTTCTGGCTCTGCATTCAGGAGTTACTCCTGGTGGTGCTCAGGAGACCATATGGGATGCTAGGAGTCGAACCCGGGTCGACTGCGTGCAAGGCAAACGCCCTACCTGCTGTGCTATCTCTCCGGCCCCTGTCTTCGTTTTTTGGACTTGTTTCACGTAACCCTCTAGTTCTAGCCATCACGTAGCAAAAAAGAGTTCATCTTTTCCCGTAGCTGAGTAGTATTTCATTTATTGTGTTTATATATCACAATGTTTTTTTTTTTTTTTGAGGGGTTTCTGCTCTTAGCGGAGCTGTGGGATGGTGCAGTGTTGGGGTGGACCCCGCGGCTTCCTTATGTGGAGTGGGCACTCCCTGCCCTAGTCCAGAATTTCCTTATTCACTTATTTGTAATTGGGGTGTGTCCAGGACTTGATTTTTTTGTTTGTTTGTTTTTGGGGTCACACCTGGCGATGCACAGGGGTTACTCCTGGCTTTGCACTCAGTTGTTACTCCTGGCGGTGCTCAGGGAACCATATGGGATGCTGGGAATCGAACCTGGGTTGGCTGCGTGCAAGGCAAATGCTCTACCTGCTGTGCTATCTCTCCAGTCCCTCCAGAACTTGATTATTGTAAATATTGTTGCAATAGATATAAGTGTGTATATATACGTACATACATACAATTTTTTTTGTGTGTGTGTTCTTGGGATAGATATCAAGGAGAGTGGTTATTATTGGAATTATTTAAGTTTTGTTGTTATTCTTTGGGGGTTTTGGGGATCCCACTTCCTGAGGCCTGGTCACAAGAGTGTTAGCTTTTATAGTACAAAATTAGTGGCTGGCACGATCGCACGGTGGCTAGGGCGTTTGCCTTGCACACAGACTTCCCAGGTTCCATCCCTGGCACCCCCATATGATCCCCTGTGCACTGCCAGGA